TTCCCTCCCTCCCTCCCTCCCCCCTCCCTCCCTCTTCTTACCGCGGCACGAACGTCCCTCGGAATGTGCTGCTTCGGGTCAGGCCATCGCCACATCCGCCACGACCCCGCCGCCTTCTCCTCCGCCCGCCCCGACTCGGCAATGTATGCGTGCAGGTCCCAGGAAGACGGACCCTCTTCCCCGCCCTCCCCCGCGTCCTCCCCCGGCATCTGGCGGTACACGCGCATCTCTTTCCCGACCGGGTCGTGCCGGGCTACGAAAGAGCCCGTGGCTTGCCGCTGCCAGAGCCCCAGGATCTGAACCAGACGCTTCGTCACCTCCCCCCGCGCCCACGCCGTGCGTCCTTCCTGCTCCCATTGTCGCCATCGGCCCATGTCTCGGCGGGACTCCAATTCCATCAACCGCCGTCCCTTCCCGTCCACTCGTCCCACCAAAGGGAGGGCCTCCCCCGCCACCCAGTCGTAAAGCACGTGCCGGATCAGGCCTTGCGGGTAGGGCTCTTCCTCCTCGCTCCACTCCATGGCGTAGTCTACCTCCGTGGCCAACAGGGCTTCGGCCCCTCCCTCCGTCCCTCCTTCCCCTCGTCCCTCTTCCTCCTTCTCCCGGCCCTCACGCACCACGAGCGCTCGTTCCGAACCCACAGCCACTTTCAACTGCGCCAGCTGCCACACCTCCAGGGAGAGGGTCTCCTCTTCCCCTTCCATCCCCGTTACCCCCTCCGCCGCCTCTCCCTCCTTCCCCTCCCCCGGCACCCTCAGCTGCTGCACAAGGGCATGCTGGAAATAGCCCTCTGCCCGCTCTCTCCACGTCATCGTCGGCGGAAGCAGAGGCGAGTGCACGACTAAGACCTTCTTCCCTCCCCCCTCCGTCCCGCCCTCCGCCCCGCCCTCCGCCCCGCCCTCCCCCCCAAGCCACCGGACCGAGAACGGAACCACCCAGGCCGCGCCTGGGTCCGTCAGTGCCAAAAGGGCGGGCAAGTCCACCAACACGTCGGCTTCCGCAAACACCGCGTCTCTCTCTCCCCATTGGCCCATGCGCATCCAGCGGCGTGCCACTGCCATCCCCCACGCCGAGTCGGGCGTGGAGGGGGGGGCGGCCGGAGCCTCACTGCCCTTTTCCAGGGCCAAACCTGCCTCTTGCACGAGCACGGGCAAAGAAGGGAGTCGCATCTTCTGCCGCCAGGCCCGCGCCGGCTTTACCGTGGAGAGATGCTTGGGCGCGGGGGGGGCGGCCCCCGTGTCCTCCTCCCTCGCCAAGGCACTGGTGAAGTGCAACTGGTAGTGTCGGGGCAGCATGGCTTGTTGCCGGTCGCGGAGGACCTGCAGGCACGCGTCCATGCCTGAGGCCAGGCTTTTCTCCAAAAACCGGTACGGCGCCCGCCCGCTCTCCCGCCACCGACTCAATTGATCCGCATATTTGGCCTGCTCCGCACGCACCAACGGATCGAGGCGGTCCAGGGCCTGGCGTTCTTCCGTTGTGAGAGGACGGGCGTCGGGATCCAGCTGGTGCTCGAAACGCAGCAATTTGTGCGAGACGGCTTGAAAAGTCCGATGCTCCTGAAGCGTCAAGGACGAATTCCTCAGTTTCGCCACCGGATCCAGCTTGATCAGACGCCCCACCGCCGCCTCACCCCCCCCCCCAAAGTCCTCTTCGTCCCTACCGCCATCCCCCTGACTGCCTCCGTACAAGGCGTGGCCTCCGCGCTCCCAGCCGCGACGGCGTTTCCCAGACCCTTTCCCACCCCCCGGTCGCGGCGATCCCTCTACCCCTGAAACTTTCCCTGGGAAGCTTGTCCCACTCCGTCCTCGCGGCTGCGTTATCACTTTGACCAAATCGCTCTCCCCGTGTAAAGTTTCAAATTTGTGCATTTCCACCCGTCGTCTCAAATTGTCCCTCCATTTATCCGTGCCTCCGCGGACCGAATAGGTCTGGTAAGCCTCGTCAGAGAGCCAACCCGACGATGCGGGGTGACCTTGTCCATCGTTAGGCTCTGAAACCACATCCGTACCCTCTATGCCATGGAAAGCCTGAAGAGGGAAGGGCACGGAAAGATCTTGCTCAAAACGATTAGACAGCTTGTGTCCCCGCGCTCCCGCAGACGCGGTGGCTCTGGTAATGGAAGCTGCGACATCCATGTCGCAAATTCCGCCCTGTGCTGCTGGAACAAAAAATGCATTAGGCGAGATCGCGGCGTGGGGGAGAGAACAAGCCGAAGGCACGTGAAAGAGATGCAATGGTACTGAATGCCGATCGTCAGCATCCTACCAGAGTCAAGCAACCTCCCCCAACCCGTCACCTGCCTACGTTCCCAGGTGGACAGTCGGCCCACACGGATACATGCGATTGGGTCGACCGAGCGCATGACGCCTCAGATTGACGTTCATAGTATGATAAACTTTCACAATTTGGTTCAAGAGGCGGAGAATGGCAACGCATCAAGTGATACCGGGCTTGTAGGTGAAATAGGGGGGGGTAGAGCGGGCCGCGCAACGCCACTGTTTTTTCTGTGCACGTGTCCTTGTAAGTTTAAAAAGTCAAGATGACGCCTTGCAACCAAAAAGAAAAGAGGAGCTGCCGATATTGCGTATGTCCTGTGCTTTTTTCCCTTCCGCGGGCATCGATGTCCGTCAACCCTCCTTGTCACACATCTCCTTCACTGCGGGCACTTTTCTCCACCCGAGCCTTCTGAATCCTTACCCCCTGCCCCCCCTCCTCCTCGTCGTCTTTTCGAACCGCGCCTGGAAAGACAGCAGCCAGGGCCTGGTCCCAGTTGTTCACCTCGTACTGCTTCATGAGAATTTCGACCACGCGGTCGACGGCAAGCGCCATGTCTGACATGTACTTGTCCCCCCGGCGTCCCTGCCGCCCAAAAAACTCCTTCAAAGGCAAACGAGCTGTGGCCACACCGTGGAGGGATGCGCGGCTTAGAGACTTGTTCTTGAGCACAACCCGGTCGACGAGTCCGCCGATCACGTAGACCTTGGTGGGATCCACGCGCTCCAACACAGTGGGCGAATCCGGACTCAAATATATCAACGCGTCCTTGTCCGCAAAGACCTCAAAGACTGAGGCATCGTGTCGGTGCATTCGCCACGCGCGGCCGCCGCTGGCCTCCAAGGCCTCCAGCACGTCCCCCTTGGCCGCAGTCAGGTGCACGCTCGGGACGAGCCCCGGCTCCCCCGCCCGCCGCATGAGCCCATAGACGCAGCCCAATTGACGGGCCAGAGAGGAGTACAGGCTGGAGGATGCATCATAGGCTAGATCTATGGCGATGCGCAGCCGTGGGGACACGGCATGAGCGCTCAGATCGGCGTCTTCTTCGTAGATCGACTCCAACCACGCTGCCACTCGCGCCTCTCTCTCCTGTCTAGCTTCGCGTTCGGCACGGGTCATGTTTCGTGCTTGCAACTCTTTCTTACGACGATGTCGGCGCATCCTTTCTCTCCGAGCGCTGGTCATCAGCGCCTTCTTCGCCTCAATTTTAGCCATTTTCGTCTTCTTTGCCGCCACAAGATCGTTGCGGCTCTGGACTGATGATATGCTTGACGCCTCTTGTCCGCACGCTCCTGTCTGCTGTGAGCTGATGTTTGAAGACTCTGCTCTTCTCCGTATCGCGCCTCCTTGCCTGCGAGAAAAAGTGGCGAGTCGTCGGTAGCAGATCGGTGGGAGAGGAGCAGGGAGCGCCTGGACGAGAGGGAAAGGATGGACTTGGAGATAGGTGACTTTCTTGCATGTGCTGCCCGCTGGAAGGACGAACGCCCGTGCGTGCCTCACCAGAAGGAAGAAGGTTAAATTGATGACGGGTACCAGGAGAGGGGACCTCAACATGAGCGGAAGGCGGCTCAGAGGGGCGACCTCGAAGAGAAAAAGCTCTAGTTCGAGGACCGCGACGAATGCGTGCCTCTGACTTGTACCTGGTACATGGATTGAAAAACTAGGAGTCTCTTTCCTGCATGTGGTAATGCATGTGTCGTTTTGTTTTGGTAAAATGAATAGTCATGGGGGACGTTCGAGTTGAAGCAGTCTCTTCGCCCTTGAAGCCGTTGCTGGCCTCAAGCACCAAGGCGATAGCGTTTGCACGTATTACGAATGCCGCTTACCCTCGCACGCACACCAACAGCCTTAGAATTTATGGCTGTCTGCTCAGACCCTTCTTCTTTGCATCGGACATTCACTAAGGGGAGCATTTGTGGCTACACAACCATCATCGTTTTCCTCCTCTCAGCCATCGCCTCCGCGTCATTTCCCCGCAAAACCTCGGGTTTTGTAACGTTCAAGCCCGGCAATTTTATTTCAAGACCGTGTAAAACATTCCATCGAGACGTAATATCTCTGCCACGTGGCCTAGCGATGCTTCGCTTTCACGGCCGCAGTTCCGAAATGAGCTTGAGAGATCCTCACGCTTCCCCTACTCAGGGGCCCCTCAGGGGGTCCTCCCCCCCACCCTCCTCCCTTATGTCCTTCAAAACCAGCTCTCTCCAGGCCTTCCAACTACTAGGAAAGTCCACTCGCTGGACTGTAGCCAGCTTGGTAGCCGTCATGCTTCTAGTCCGGCGGGACGCCGCGATTGTCAACTTCACAGTAGGGGCTATTCTGAATGCCATGCTTGGAAAAATCTTAAAACGTCTTATCAAAGAAGCTCGACCAGACGGCGCGGTCCTGGAGGATCCAGGTATGCCTAGCTCCCACGCCATGGCCTTGTTCTACATGTCTGCTTTCCTTGGGAGCGCGCTGTGCCAAAAGAGGGGGATCGGGGTGCTCCCGCCCTGGTGGCCTTTGGATGTCCTGCCCACCATTGCCTTGGGCGGCCTCTATGTCTCTGTCGCAAGCGCTTGGAGAGTCTTCTCAGGTCTGCACACGTCCGCACAAATCTTGGTCGGGGCGGGTGTGGGAGGTGGGGTGGGGTTGGCGTGGGAGAGGGCATGTGCCATGGTTTGCGATCACCAGGTGGGCGCCTTCTTGGCCCGTTACAAGGGGGGGCAAGTGCCTGTGGTGTACCTGGTAGGTGTGATGGTGGTAGGAGCCTTGACGGTGGGGTCTGTGGAGAGGAAGATCGCCAAGGCGATGCGTCAAATCCTGGGAACAGGGAGGGGAAGGGAGGGAGGGGGGGGAAGCGTGAAAGCGCGCTAAAGGCCCACAAAGTACAATCGGAGCAATGACTGGACACAAAGATGCGTCCCGTCGTTCGGTAAAGGCACCATGGCTTCTGCTCATTCCATGGGGAGCTCGCTCCCTTTCTTCTTCGCACACTTCCCCATGTGCATGGCATGGTACTTCACGCATCACCGCAAGGGGTACGCCCTCCGCAATCTTACTAACAATCACCCCAAGGGGCACGCCCTCCGCAAATATACTAACAATCACGCGCCACCCCAAGGGATGCGTCTATCGCCTACACCATCCTCTCGCGGCGGTCAAGATGCCACTGTCCAGAGGCCGGGGCCAGAGCCGTGCCCCCGCAGACGACTCTTGCTGCTCCCTACCTCCGCCCGAACCTCCTCCCCATCCCCGCTTCTCGGGCCTCCCCTTCCCTCACCCTCGCTTTCCGTCACTCTCGCGCCGGGCGCCGGGTCCGGGGGGTAGTGGAAGTGACGAATGAAGTAGGACTCCACAAAGTCCGGGCCCGAGTACACACGGGGGTAGCCCCAGCTCAAGGCGGTCGGCCCCTCCGTCTCGGGGAACGCGTGGCGGTTCTTCCGGGCTTCCCCCACAAAAAAATCCGCTAGGTACCGGGCCAGGTTCTGGGCGGCCAGCGAGTGGTTGGTGGCCTCGAAGGGCCACGCCTCCCCCCCGTCTCCCCCCCCGCCACGCCCCACTCAAATATTGCCTTTTCCGGGTGGAACTGCACGCCATACCAGGGCCGCCCATCCTTCCCTTCTAAGGTCGAGACAAAGGGCGTCCCGGATCGGTCCAAGTCCGTGGAGATGACCGTGAAGGCCTCGGATAGGGCAGGCGTGGCCGCCAGGTGGGCGGGAGCGACGCCCTTGTGGTGGTTGTTCATGGTCAAGTGCTCCGCCGCCGCCGCGTCCCAGAGGGCAGGAGGCAACTCGTGGAAGAGCCGGCTCGTCTTCGCGGCCTCGGTGAAGGATAGCGGGAGCGTCAAGTTCCAGGCGTCGTAGCCCGTGTCGATGACAAAGCGGGGGGCCTCGGGGTCTTTGCTCACAGCCTCCGCGCAGACGGCTTCCACCATCCATTCCAATCCCAGGCACGTTCCCCACACAGGGAAGTAATCCCCTGCCTCGTGGGCCTCGCGGGCCCGCGAAAACAGGTGCTTTGCCCCCACCGACAGCACATTGCTACCCCCCGGAAAGAGCAGTCCGTTCACGGATGCAAAAATGGCATCAAGGGCGTCAAAGGAGGCATTGTACGGCACGGGCAGGACGCGCCCCCCTGCGCTCTCCACCCATTTCACGTAGCTGGCTGCAATGTATTCGCAGACCCCGTCACAAGGAGCGAGGTTGGAAAACTTGGGTTGGGCCAAAACGCCAATGACGGGGCCCACGGTCGGATCGAAAACCGAATGGAGGCCAGCTTCCGGCAAAATTCGATGTCCATAACTAGACAGAGCAACAGCGGGGACATCGGGTGGGGTGGCGTCGTGTGAAAACACCAAAGAGTCTGCGGCATTCCACTGACCGGTGCCCCGTGACTCTGCCACAGCCACGCACGCGGCAAGCAACGGCCCCAGCAGGAGCAACGCGCGCCTCATAAACCCTCACCCGTCCCCACGATCCACCTGTGCGAAAAAAAGGTAGGTGTCAGTAATGGCTCCGTCCCGACAAGGTCCCACCCCAGGAAGGGCTGGGTCTTCCCATGGCGACTCGGTGCGCTCGCCCATGCGAGGAAGGGGTATTATCGTACACTGTTTGTTGCTTTTCTCTCGGTTTGAAACAAGCGGAAAGGCTTCCGTTGTTGTTCCGGAGGCATAATACTCTTTGGAATGAATTGCTCATCTCGGTGTCGTCTATCCCATGCACAGGCTCTACCCTATGAAAGAGGAGACGGAGCTGGCCCGCGCGCGACTTTTCTTCTTCGCTTGAAGGTGAAGGTCCTTCTGGACATTCTTCTTTTTGAGATCAAGGACGCCAAGCATCCTTTCATCCACTACGATTGCACGTATGCCTGTCTTCCACTACCCTGCTGACTCTCAGACGAATGGCACGGCCATTTCCTACATTCCTGTGAGCAGCCAGAGCCATCCCCAAGAGTCGGGAGGCCCTTCCTCTTCACCTACACGCCAGCCAAGAGGTCATGCCACGGATCCAGATTGCAACGATCTCGATCATGAGGCGCTCCCGACCAAAATGGATGAAGATGAGGACGAGGACGAGGAGGAGGAAGAGGAGGAGGGCTGGGAGGATGAGGAGTCTAAACGGCAAAAACGCTTGGAGCAAAATCGCAAGGCAGCACATGAAAGCCGACAGCGGAAAAAAATCAAATACCAACAACTTTCTGAGTAAGTTTCCAACATGCTACCTTTGACCACCTCCATCCGTCGATGCGCATTCCAGGGGCCCTCCCATGCCCCAGCAAGGTATGCGTAAAGGAAAGGGCGTGGTCTGACCTCACCCCGCCATCTTACAGGGCTCTGGAAGCTCTTCGGGCAGAAAGCCTCCAGCTGTCGCAGCAATCTCAAAGCATGCGGGAGCAACTCGCCGCGACTCGACCCACCAGGCACAGCCAGGAAAGAGCGCGTCTCGAGGAGGAGAACCAGCGCTTGCGTCAGGCGCTTTTGCTGGCCTTGCAAGGACTGGCCGAGGACGAGGAAGAGGAGCCGATAGAGGAAGAGAGGGAGGGTGGGCAGGGGGGGGGTCACAGCGCTCTAAGAGAAGAGGAGGAGAGCAAAGAGGGGAACACCTCTGTGACGCGGGCGCCCATGCTGGAATAAGGCTTTGGATGCTTGTGTCGTCTTCACTGTGCATAGCCGTGGATGTGTTTTTCCGGGGGCCGGGCTCGGCCGAACCAGCATCCTAGGAGCGATTCTTTTGGCCTCAAACGCAAATTAAATGTCTTTACTCATGCAATGAAACAAATAGCATCAATTTGTCCACGAACATGCGTACCACTTTGCTTTCTGTTGATACTTTCGCAGGAGCTGCCCTCGTCACTTTCTACCCTCGTGGCTGTTCTTGCCCGGCCTTCTCTCTCTCGAGGGGTGACAACGAGGCAGGAGGTCTTAGTGGAGGCGCGGGCGGGGGCGGCAGGAGCGCCAGCAACGAGCCCAGGCAGGAGAGGCTTCGAACATGCCCGGACGTCTCGGGAAGCGGAGTGGGAGATGTCTCGGGGGTGGACGCGACGTGGAGAAGCCGAGGGAGGAAGGCACGAAGGTGGATCAACACGCCTAGGTCATGATCAATGTGGAGGCAGGGTTTGAGGTGGCGGACGATGGCTTGCTTCCCGATCGAAGTGGAGTGAAATAGAATTTTCTGGAAGGTAGGGGAAAGCGGGAGGGAAAGAGGACGGGGTAAGAGATAGGGAGGCTCAAGGAAGATGGAGCCGGGGTTTGCTCATGTACATTCAGCGCCCAAAAAGAGTGCAAGCAATGATGCAGGAAAGATGTGGTAAGACCTGTGCACATCGAGGCAATTGCTGCCAGCAAAGTGAGATGGAGGAGGCAGCGCACGCGCTACTCTGCGTCATGCGCGGCCGTCCGTCACACCCGTCTCCCCTCCCGACATCAAAGCTCCCTACATGTACTGCCACGGTGCCGCCATCCTGTCCTCCATGCTCTTGGTCCCTTGTCGCGTCCTTGCGTACCAATCTCTCCCTTTCCAGCGAGGCCAGGACCCTACGTTGGGTCGCCTCGCCTGACCGCCCTTCTTGGGCCTCGGCCAAGAGGAAGACATCGGCAAACTCCAACAACAGCCTCAACGCATCCAGAGCTTGAGGTACAAAATCATATGTTGAGGCTGGTGTATCTGTTGACGTCGTTGAGCTGTTATTTGCTCTGAACAAAATGCCTTCTGTGGCCAATGTGACGGGACTGCCCAACTTCAGGGCCAACTCCTTTTGAAGGGCCTTCGCCCGGACTGAAATGGTTCGAGTAGGTACATTTGTGCTCTTTTTCGTGGTGATCTCTCTTCCACGCTGTCTGGGGATGTCTGTCGTGGTTGATTTTTGTAAATAGCCGGCCACAAAAACGGCTATTACAAGAGTCACCAAGAGGAAGATGACCACATCGCTTTCGGACTGCCCACTGGTGCTGATGCTCCCACTTGCCATATCTGAAGAGCTTTTTGTCCCTTGCCTCCTGTCTGTATATGTATCGACGTAGGTGTTAAAGGCTCTGCGCCGGATTAAACCCTAGCGTGTGACGACCAAAGTTCCTGCAACCAAATGCTATCGTCATCGCTGAGTAGCAATTCATCTCAAAATAGCGTTGTCAGACTCCTCATGCATAGAGCAAGAAGAACACTGGCCTCTGGCCATTTATGAGAAGCCATGCGGCGAAGGGAAAAGTGCTGAATGAAACGAGAAAGGACACGTGCTTCCGAGTTGAAACAAGACAAGGGGCAGCTTGGTACGTGCGACTAACCTCCTGCCCCCCAACTACCATAAATGGCGATACAGAGTAAGCTTTGTAAATTAAATCGTCCGCCACGTTGTGCACAATTGACAGTCCTGTAAAACTGCTTGCCGAAAGGTACCATACAGCACAAATAAAGAGTCAAAGGCCCCGCTGCTTCTTCTGAAAAACTCTTCATCTAGGTTTGGTTTCTTCCCAAATGAGACCTCTTCCTTCTTTAAACACTGCAAAAACTTTTTGAATCCGTCAGTATCCACACAGAAAGCATTTTTGCGCTCATGCTCCAGAACCTTAGCTGCCGGGTTGCCTAGTATCTTTTGAAATGTCTTCGGATGGCCTCCTTTTCCGTTTATTTGGCCTTTTAACCAAGCAACCCTCGTGCGACTCCGCTGCTTT